TTAAAACTATCGACGAAGGAAAGGCAGAGTCTTTAAAGACTTCAAGCTCTAAAGAAAAGGAAACCAAAGAGCCACTATGTCAGCAAAAGGTTCGACCAAAGTTAGTTTATTTTCATTTCAATGATACTTAACAAAAAACAAACTTTTAGCCACACAAAAAGATCATCGACAAAGGAGTGCCAGAGTTTGCCACTCCGGGCTGGATCAACGAGGACTGTCCTCTGCCTGCAGAACCACTAACTGGAATGGTGAACAAATACGGCAACAAAGTCCGACTTACGTTCAAATTTGAGTCTGACGAGGTGTGGATTGGAACGAGTCAAAATACTCAGAAGCTCCCGATGACTAACATCCGAGCGATGGTAAACGAGCCTATCCTCGCCCATCCTGGTTATCATCTAATGGGCCTTCAGGTTGGCCCAACTGAAGCTTCCCGAATCTGGTTCTACTGGGCAAGTTTACTCCTAGAAAGGATTATCTTTTATTACTAACACTTTTGGTTGTTCTGCAATAGGTGCCTGCACAGTATATCCGTGCAATCAGACGAGCTATTCTCAACGACTAGATTGCCGAACAGCTGTACAGTTTCTCCTTTTTCTCCGTCTCTTGCACCTGTGGTACCCACACTTCTGAATAATTGTTTTTATTTCTCGTCTCTCCGTTACCATTTATTGATAAGATTGATTTTAATTACTTCAAGGCTCCTTTTTAAAAGAAAAAGAGAAAAATTGCTGAAGAATTGCAACTGGGATTTCTTGGTCATTAGACCACTTTATCAGTTGAAAAATGGAAAAAAATTAAATTGCGCTAAATGTTAGCTGCTAAAAGCTGCAACACAGTGAAATGCTTGAAAAGCTTGCTGAAGTGCAGCGTAGTGGCTTATCGAGCTGCCGCTAGAAGCTAAAACTGTGGTCTGTTTCCTCATCAGAGCTGCTGTAGGAGGTGACAACGTCCTCTTCCTCCTGCTCTGAAAAGACAGTCACCGTCTCTGTGGGCGAGTCGTCGTCCAGCGACCAGGTGTCGAGCAGTTCGGCCGTCTCGTCTAGAATCACATTGAACGGACGACCATCGATTTGCATTGAGAGCTCCACCGAGTGCACTGGCCCCCCACTTTCATAGGACGGTGGGCTGCGGTTGAAGTCCAGAAGGTCCACTGAATCGTCTATGAAAGAGGAGGAGGAGGAGGAGGTGGGCGCGCTGTCCTCCTCATCCTCTGAAGTAGTCACTGTAATGTCAGCAGTGTCAGTGGTAGTAGTAGTGGTGTCGGTATCTTCGTTAGTGTAGTCGAAGAATGCGTTCCAGTCGTCCTCATCGACGACGATCATGTCGGCACCATCGGCCACCGCAAAAAAGTCCTCCTCCTCCTCCTGCCCCTCGTGCCCCTCCAAATCAGCAACGGTCACCAACTCGAAGGCCTCGTTGTCCTCTGAGTGAGAGCGGTGCTCGGTGGCGATCTGGTGCGGTGGGCAGCAGAGGAGCGAGCCAAAGAGGGCCGCCTTCTCCGGACCGCTGCTGAGGAAGGTGTCGCGGACGACGATGCGGGCGCTGAGCGAGCGGCAGGTGGGACACTTGATCGGCTCGGCGCCGTGGCCATTGTGCTCCAGCAGAGAGCGCACACAGGGCTCACAGTAGGGGTGGTCGCACTGCTCCAGCAGGGCAAACTTGCGACCGTTCTCCTCGGAGACCGACTCCAGGCAGATGCGGCACTCCAGGCGCTGGTTGCTGGGGGTGGTGGCGCTGGTGGTAGCGGGTGGCACACTGCTGCTGCTGCTGCTGACGTTGTCGGTCTTGTTTTCAGACGACGTGACCACCGCTTGGCCGCCAGTGATGGTGACATTCTTCTGTGGAGCACTTCCACTGGAAGCTGCAGGGTAGCTGGCACGCAGATGCTCAGTGATGGACTCCAAGTGGACTATGACCTTGTGCATGGTTTGGGCGACATTGCCTCCAGCAGTGCCACCAGCATAGTAGTCGTACAGTGACTTCAGCCAGGTGTTCATCTGACCGGCGACCACGCTCTCTTTTGCTGGGCTCTTGCCACCTGAAGATGCTTTACTGCCACCAGTTGACATTGTGCTCAGAATGACTTCAAAACTGTAGAATTTTTTGATAGGAACTCGTTGAAAGTGATGAATCCCCAAAGACAGGCTCCAAAATTCAATTCAACAATACACAAAAAAATTTTTCTGAATAAAAAGGTGTGATACAGATTGCTTTATGCCAAGTCAAACAAACAATAGTCGAATTTAGAATTTCAAATAAAGTAGTACAAAAAAAATAAATAACCAGCTGACAAGCACATCGGAATAATGTAAAACGATTAAAATTGTAATAAAACGATTAAAAGTAAAGCAGTTAAAATGAGATGAAAAACAAAATTTAAATGCTGCTTTATGGGAAAAAATGAAGCAAAAAATGCAAAGCGCAGCTGACCACTTCTGCTCTCACTTCAGTTGTAGTCCTGCCAGTAGAAGGGAAAGAAGGACAGTCGCAGCTTCATGCTCTGCACTCGCTGACCGTCAAAGTGAGAGTAGTGCTCCTTGTTGCGGTTCTGGTCACTGGCGCGCAGCTTCAGATTGGCCGGCAACGAGGCGACCATGTCGCTGATGAGCGAGCGGTCCACGGAGGTGCACACCAGACTCGCCTGGAACTCCTCCTGTGCACCGGTGATCGTTTCGGGAATGAGCTTGGCGTGGTTGATGCACGCATCGAGGGTCTTCTCGCCCACCAGCGGACAGCCGTCGAGGACGAGGGCGCGCAGGTGGGGACACTTGCGGACCAGGTCGGCCGCCTGGCTGTCGCTGATCAGCTCGTCGCCGCGAAGCAGCAGGTACTTGAGCGAGGCGCTCAGCTCGGCCAGGTGCTGCAGACTGTACTTGCTGACGAAGTGATTGTGCACCGCCTCAAAGTACTTCAGCCGGGGACAGTGCCGGGCGAGACTGGCCAGCGCCTGGCGGTCGGTCAGCTTGTGGCGGTGGCGCAGGTTGAGCGTCAGCTCGGCCAGCTGGGCGCAAGAGGCGGTGATGGTGGCCAGCGACTTGTCCGTCAGCCTGCCCACGTGACGCAGGCGGAGAATGTGCAGTCCGGTGAGCTGGCCGATGGCGGCAAAGCCGGCCTCCGACAGTTGGTTGTAGCCAGTGTCGTCATTGTAGGTGAACTCCTCGAAGCTGATGTCCAGGTGCATCAGATTGGGACAGTTGGCGGAGATGGCAACGATCGACTCGTCGTTGAGGCCGCTGTTGAAGATGAGCTCGGCCAGGTTGGGCAGCCCTACTCCACCTCCTCCTGCCCCATTGGCCATGGCAACCAGGTGGGCAGAGTCGATGCGCCAGCAGTCACGAATGTTCAGTCGCTTAATTTGGCTCTTCATGGCCGGCAGTGTGAAGCATTGGCCTAGTGAAAGTCGAGGATTTGGGTTAACAAAACACGTCAGCAGACAAGTGTTTCTGTTCCTTCAACTACTTACCGGTGATGAGGCAGTTGTCGCTAACATCGAGCGACTCGAGGTGCTTGCAGCACTCCAGAATGCGTGCCACTCCCGCCTCGCTGATGTCCGTTCCGGAGAGGTTCAGATGGGCGAGGCTGGGCAGTTGGCCGAGGGCCTCGTAGGCGCGCGTGCTCAGGCCGATGCTCGCCTCCAGGTTGAGCGTGGTGAGCTGGCCGAAGTGGGAAAACTTGTAGAAGAGCAGGTAGGCGACAAAGTCATCATCGAGGTAGTAGTAGTGGAAGCTGAGGCGCGTCAGCTGGGGACAGCGCACCGCCAGACGCTCCAGCAGCTGCGCCGCCTGGCAGACGTGCAGCAGGACGAAGGCACTCTCCGGACGAAGCATGGAGCGCATCCACGCCTCGTACTGCTCCGTCTTCATCGTCGCCAGCAGGTCCAGGCTGATGATGCCGTACTCCAGCTGGTCATCGTAGCCGCAACGGAAGACCGACTGCGGCACGAAGCGCGGCCGGGCAAAGGTAGGGTTGACCGCCACCAGGCCCGAGAGCGAGTACTGCTTGGGGCCGATCACATCGGACTGCAGCTCATCCCACTTTGTGTCGGACACGTGACGACAGGGCGTGGAGGTGTACTCGATCAGTCCAGAGGTGGTACCACCGCCACTGCTGCTGTTGTTGCTGTTGTAGCTCCCATCGGATGGTGCAAAACCCGCAGTGCCCGAATGCTCAAGACCAGTGCTGCGATTTGGCGGACGCTTGCCAAAGATGCGGTTGCTTGAGGTGCGAATGAAATTCCAAATGTCACTCATTTTTCAAATTGCTTGCAGTTTAGTAAGGTAGATAGCAGCAAAATTTAATGAGTAGCAGACAATGACAAGCCTTTATCAGAATTTGAGTCTGTATTTTTGAGAAAAGAATGTCAAAAAAAGTTCGAGTTTCTTTTTTCTATTAGCAATTTCAAAATTCAAAACTCCCGCTTTCGACTATTTCGATCTACTTTTTTTGTTTACTGCGTTTTTTGTTTTCTTGCTGCGTTCTAAAGTTTCTTTTTAGATCCTCCTTTTTGGGTATTAAAATACTTGTTGTAAAGATTTTAACTAGTGATACTGTTGATAAGGAGACCAATTTATTGCCATTGTTTTATCATCGACCAATTCCACAGAAGTGAGACAGCATTTTCAGCAACAAAAGCTACCTCAAAAGCACTACGACAGTTGTAACTTTCGCAGTGCTCTACGGAAAAGTTTGGTGGTCGAAAAAATTCCACTCTTTCACACCTGCGCTGATGTTTACATTGCAGTTTCTGAAAAGTTTCTTCGCATCGTCAGCTGCGTTCTGTTTTGGAGTCTTCTCTGTTTTGTTGTCTTTTCTGTTATCATCATTTACCATCACCACCACCGTCGCTCTCTCTCGCTCGAAGCACGCTGTCGCTTCGTGGTGGCCCCTTCCCTGCTCGCTAGCATCAACATCGACACTCTCTGGTCGATCATCTGTTCCTGTAACCGACAAGTATTCCTGATCTAGAAGTACCAGTGTGTGTTCACCAAAAGCTAACAATGAATGCTCGTATGACATCGTTTGAGTTTGTAAGTGGAAGCATCTTTTTAAGACGCAGCGTGGAAGCATTTTGCCATTTGGCGATATTGTTTGCAAAGTAGATCATTCAATATTTGACCCTTCCTTTTTTCGTTTTATTTTCAGACCTGTCTCGGCAAAAAGGTCAATGACATAACCTCTGCACTCTTTCACTCCATCATCTTCAATAGATGTTATGGAAAGGTACCCTTGATCATTGTTTTTAACCAACAGCTGATTCTAATCTTAAAATACTCATTTTCAAACAGTTTCGTTATGATAGTGAGCAAGCATACTCCATTGGCACTCTTGGATATGAAGAGATTTCCTGTGATTTCATTGACTTTACTTACGTAAGTTTTAAGCTCATTTTTTCATTTGTATTTTAATGTTTACGTTTGTAGATTTGTGTTTCTTCTAATGAGCTCGTCCGGTCAGTAAACCGAGACATCAAAACATTTACCGAAGCCCTCCGAACGGCCTCTTTTCGTAGTCAAGCATCCACCTCGCCTTCTTCCCCACCTTCGTTCTCTTCTACGTTCATTGATCCATACTCGCCAATTCCCTCTCCGTCCAGCGAAGACGTCGGTTTCTTAACCTCAGCAGCTTCTTCGGGAACAATTTTCCTGGAGTTTCTTACCAAGTCAAGTCGAAGCACATGGAGCTTCAGTGAGCCACTCGTTTGGGAGGTGTGGAGTCTCAAGTTTAACTGCCTGAAGGAGGACACCAATGAGGACGCCTTCAATAAGACGGCCATCGATGAACAGCTCTTTGATAAAGTGCTCAGTATCGTGCAGATTGTCAATAATGCCCAGTATTTGCCCACTATGCCTAGTTTGAGTGAAGTTGATAGTGTCTTTGACACAAACTACCCAAACGCACAACCATACAACTTTAAGGTATTTTTCAGTGTTGAAGACATTTACTTTTACTTACATTACCTCCCATTCTTCTAGATCTCTTACAAAATTGGCTCTGGCGTGACGAAGGACGCATCTGCTCGCCCTGGTCTTGAACGCAACTCGGCGCAAGCACAAATTAAGAATTTTATCAAGCAAAAACTGGCTCTCTAAAAACTACTTACTCTTGTGCCCTAGGACAATCATTACCTTTTGGCTGCTTCGTTTACTTTTCTGTTCATTCTGTCATTCATTTGTGTACCTTTTTAGACATTTTTATCTCTATCTCTAGATTCTTTAATTTAATGTTATTCTCATTAGAAGGTTTTGTGTCTTCATTTAAAAGTGCAAGATTTATGTTTGAAACCGATTATCTTTTGTTATAATTTCGTGATTCATTAGACCGTTTTGTTTTCTCTTTTTGTTTGCAGTATAAAGTGAATTTTGATTCGGAGTTTGATTTTTTACTCACTGGCCAAATCCGCAAGTTTCGAGCACTTGTCGTTTCGGCGACATGTCTAATAAACACGTGCTTACTTTTGTGGATCGTGTTGTTTTCCCAACAAAATGGAAGAAGTTATCATGATCTCTTGAGCTTCCGAAGCTAGTTTCCACCGTTGTCCACCGTCGTTAAGTTTGAAACCCTTGTACATCTTTTTACCTGGGCTACAATGAAGTCAAAACTGCTCGAGTATATCTGGCGATCACTGAGCGAGAGTCCTCTTCTCTTGAGAACCGTCATCGCCGGCGCTGTTGTTGTGATATCCTCCCGGTTCTACTACCAGAAGCTGTCATCTCGTCGATCGTTGCCATCCAGTGCTGATGATTACTCCAAATGCAATGGAGTCTGTGCCTGTAAGAAGGGAAGTGCGTGTGGCAAAAAGAAACTGCGACTTCGTATTATCTGCGGCTCTATAGGCGGCAAAAGTGAACGACTATCTCGGAAGTGCTTTGATCTCCTGAACACTGATTCCCAGATTTGCTCACTGTACGACGTGGAGTGGCTGCCAATAGCAAAGTACGACCCTGAAGATGAGCTCATCAACGACGCCAAACTGGGCAGCTACCTGATCGTGTTTATGCCCACGTACACCAACGGCGAGCCGCATCCGGACGCTAAATGGTTCTGCAAGTGGATCTCAGAGGCGTCCAGTGATTTTCGCTTTGCCAGCGACGAGCTGAAACAGCTGAAGTTCGCCATCTTTGGCATTGGCGACTCTGCGTACGGCAACGAATTTTGTCTTCTGGCTCGCAATCTAAACGACTGGCTCAGCAAGATGAAGGCGGACCGCTTTTACCCGACCTGTCTGCTGGACACTAGCAGCCAGATTCCGGCAGAGAAGCAGTTCAGTAGCTGGTTTGAGGAGCTGTCACCTGTTCTAGTTAACGGCTCAAATGGACTGACCTCATCTGAAGACGTGGATGGCGATGAAGCTGAATCTNAGCAGCCAGATTCCGGCAGAGAAGCAGTTCAGTAGCTGGTTTGAGGAGCTGTCACCTGTTCTAGTTAACGGCTCAAATGGACTGACCTCATCTGAAGACGGTGCTGACGTGGATGGCGATGAAGCTGAATCCGGAGAATACGATGATGAGGATGATGATGGCGCCAATGAGAGTCGTACCAATGTGGTCACCGATCTGGAAGACATTGTCAAACCGGTGAGCTCTCGAAAAACTGCTAATGGTTCAGCGGTGGGGGCAGTAGGTGCGAAGAAGATTACCGACATGATTACGCCTGACTTGCGCAAAGAACTCACCAAGCAAGGCTACAAACTGATTGGCTCGCATTCGGGAGTGAAACTCTGCCGATGGACTAAGTCTATGCTTCGTGGAAGAGGTTTGTTAGATTGCTGTGTTTTCTGGTAGTACTAACAAACGTCTTTTGTTTTTAGGTGGATGCTACAAAAACGCTTTTTACGGCATTGAAAGCCACCGATGCATGGAGGCGACGCCCAGTCTGGCCTGTGCCAACAAGTGCGTCTTCTGCTGGCGTCACCACACCAATCCAGTGGGCACCGAGTGGAAGTGGAACCTCGACGAGCCTGAGCTGATTGTCGAGGGCGCTCTCAAGAGTCACTACGCCATGATCAACGAGTTCAAGGGCGTTCCCGGCGTGCAGGAGGGACGGCTGAAGGAGGCGAGCACCGCTCGGCACTGTGCCCTCTCGCTGGTGGGCGAGCCCATCATGTACCCGAAGATAAACGCCTTTGTGAAGCTGCTTCACGAGCGAGGTGTGTCCACCTTTCTGGTCACTAATGCCCAGTTTCCGGACGCCATACGCGCCCTCGACCCGGTGACACAGCTGTACGTCTCGGTGGACGCCTCCTCAAAGGCATCATTGAAAAAGATTGATCGTCCGCTCTTCAGGGACTTCTGGGAACGGTTCATCGACAGTTTGAAGGCACTAGGAGAGAAGGGTCAGCGGACCGTGTACCGCTTGACGCTGGTCAAATCGTGGAACAGTGATGATGTGGAAGGATATGCAAGGTAAGTTTGGCATTCGCATTTTTTAGTTATTGTTAACACTTTTTTTGCCTTTTACTAGACTGGTTTCCTTTGGATTTCCCGGTAAGAAATGGATTGATTGAATGTGTAATTTTTCATTTATTTTTTTAACATTTGTAGATTTCATCGAAATCAAAGGCGTCACCTTTTGCGGCAACACCTCAAGTACCGCCAATCTCACCATGAAGAATGTGCCCTGGCACGAAGAGGTGGTCAGCTTTGGGACGGCTCTTATGGAGAAGATCAACCAAATGGAGGCGCAGAAGCAGCTCGGCTTGAAAGGCTCCGCTGGCTTTGATGCCACGCCACTCTACGGAATTGCCTGCGAACACGAGCACTCTAACTGCATACTGCTGGCACATCGCCGTTTCCACATTGATGGTGCCTGGAACACCTGGATTGACTACGCCAAGTTCAGCCAGCTCATTGGCGAGTATTACCAGTCTAATGGCGAGAAGACCTTTAGTTCACTGGACTACGTTCAGCCGACACCAGCTTGGGCTGTGTATGGTGCCAGTGAGCGAGGCTTCAATCCCAATGACACTCGCTTTCGTCGCAACAAGTAATGCACATGTGCTTTTCCCCAATGTATAAAAACTGTATTTTAAATCAACGATTTATTCAATCTTTTTTCTTTTGTGATCCTAACAATAATTTACAGGACTTTTATTTTTACAGAAAGAAAAATAAACATTTTCAAAACAGCTGTACAACTAATTACAATTTTTACAAGCGACTAATGGTCATGAAGGAGGAGGAGGAGGACTCCACCGGTTTCAATTTGGCCTTTGAAGCAGCTCCCGCTGAGGAGGAGGAGGAGGACTGCAAGTCACCGTCTTCAGTCAACGTCAGCTCATCTTCATCTGTAGGATCGTCAAGTGATGAGGATGCCCCTTTGTTGTTGCTGTTGTTGCATCCTCNGGTTTCAATTTGGCCTTTGAAGCAGCTCCCGCTGAGGAGGAGGAGGAGGAGGACTGCAAGTCACCGTCTTCAGTCAACGTCAGCTCATCTTCATCTGTAGGATCGTCAAGTGATGAGGATGCCCCTTTGTTGTTGCTGTTGTTGCATCCTCGCAAAATGACTGTTGATTGAGAGGCATGCGATGAGGACTGACCAGAGGATGAAGAGGTGGTAGAAGAGGAAGAGGAAGTAGTGGTGACGGAAATCACAGACGGTGGCACAGGACTGGAGGTGATCAGTTCAGAGTTGGTGGTGGTAGAGGAGGAGGTTGTGGAGATCGCAAAACCTGCTGCCCTCGTTGCCGGCGCCTCTTCGGACGTGGGTGAGCTGACTGCGGAAGAGGAGGGCGTCGAGGCGAGGGAAAGGGAGTACAGTGAGGTGCTGAAGGAGGAAGTCGAGGCGGAGGTGGCCGATGTGGTGGCCAGGTTCTGGCTGGGCTCAGGAGAGTCACAGGGCTCAGAGCAGTAGTCGGCTCGAGGTAGTAGTTCACGAAAGGCGCGAAGACTGCTCGATTTAGGTCGGCTTGGCAGCTGTGGATGTTCAGTTGAACTGCTCGAATCACTAGTACGTGGTCGAGGAACGTATTCGGTGGAGATTAAAGTCCGATTTCCGATGATGGTGGTGGGAAGAGGTGAGGAAGAAAATGCATTACCGCCGGAGACGACATCAGTGGTCATCACCAGTGCTGACTGTGGCCGAGTGGTAGTGTGTCCTCGAGAATTGTAGTGACTTTCGTAGTGACTTCCATTTCCGGTGGGCTCTCGGAAAGAGGGCGACTGATTGAGGGTGCTGGTGTGGCCAATCAGGCGTCCATTTCCGTATATTCGACAGGAAGCAGGCGAAGGTGCTGCAGTCGTTGTAGATGAGCCATTTGAAGAGCTTCCATTCGGAGTGCCGATACGCAAAACGGTGATGTGATCAAAGGGGTTCTCTAGAGGGACGTTGTTCTCCAGGAAAGGATTACTGTGCAGCTCAACGGTGCCCTCGGCAGTAGTAGTGGACTGTAGTGGACTGGTGACATAGGCTTGGCTTGGCTCTGTGAAGCAATATAAAAAGAATTAGAGCTGTTCATTCTGTCTCCCCTTCCCTTTCCAGTGCCTTACCGTTCAGTGGGGAAGCCAGGTGGGTGACCAGCCTCTGCTGATATGGGCTGGAGTTGAGGTGCTGATATGTGCCCGAAATGGTGTGCTGGAAGCTCGGATGCTGGCGAAGTGTCGTTGTACCTCGAGATTCTTCGGCAGCAGCAGTAGAAGTTGCAGTAGCGGGCACTTCACCGAAGGCATTTCTGCTCATGGGCATGCTGTTGTGTCGAACGAGATGGCTGCTGGGCGCCAGGTAGTGCCCCTTTGAGTACGTCTGTGTGGCTGTGTTCAATCCGTAGTGGTGCAGATCACTGAGGGGACCGGGATCACGAGCGTCCAGTCCGGGCTCCAGACCAGGGCCCAGTCGGTTGAGATGAACGTTTGGAACTATTGGCAGGGGTGGTAAGACGCCTTGCCGAGCAGGCCGAACAGGGAAGAGTGGCGTCAGTGAACTGTTAATCAGCGACGCTATTCTGCCTGGTTGAGGAAGAGGAGGTGGGGCAAGTGGAAGAGCACCCGTTGTACTGTTCAGTGTAGAGTAGGGATAGGTGGTGGTCATGCCTGCACCACCACTAAAGATTCCATTTCCGTGGTACTGAACATTGAGGTGCTGCACTTGAGGATTGATGCCCGGCTGCTGGTGGTGGAGCTGATTGGCAGCAGTCATGTCCACTGGAAAGACCATTGGCAGTGTCTGCTGACTGGTGGGCGTATTTGGATTGATTGTCTCCTCATAGCTGGGCGGCGCCTCCCCGGGGGCAATGAACTGCTCCGGTGGCTTCCAGAAGGTGTACGGCGGTGGGGGCTCAATGAAGCCGAAACCAAGTGGGCCACCGAGAGAATCACGACCACCACCACCACCGCCGCCGCCAGCACCGCCACCTCGACCACCAATGCCAAAGTAGCCGAAGCGAAAGGCATGTTCATTGACCAGGTGTGATCCAGCAGAGTTTGGCCCTGATCCACCTCCACCTCCTCCTCCTCCGTTGATTTGTTCTAGTCTTCTTGTCTGAAGGCGGCGAATCATCAACAGCAGTCGTCGTTGCCGAAGTCGGTGTATCATGAAAAGCAACAGTGCGAGGATGAGAAAGGAGGTGATTGTGGAAGCAATCAGACGAAGGCCTAGTTGAGGATGAAAAAATGAAAAGAAGTTTTAGTTGACAATATTTCACAACAAATGCTCAAGTATGCAGTTTTCTTACCCAAATTACTCGTACTCAACGAGCTAAACTTTTCACCCTTTGTTAGGATGGTCTTGTTGAAGAACTTGAAGCCCGTTGTCATGTCGCCTTCAAGACAGAGAAACTCACAACAATTGCCAGACACTTTATGAAATTTCCTAAATGGACAAGAAAAAAATAGACAAAAGTGAGTAACGGAGCATATATGCTGAGAGTGTATTCTCATCAAATGGAAACTTCTAAATGTGCACTATTATTACAGCCAACACGTGAGAACGGTTGTCACCTGATTTCCAAAAGTGTTTTTTCAACCTTGAAAAGCTTCTCAACTGAAACTAATGATCACCAAGTGCGAGTGCCACACTGATCTACATTGGCGCTAATTAGATCATATACAAAAGTAAACTATATCACATAGTCGCAGCGATCATATCTTTTTATCTTGTCATTCTTTTTATGTGGCATCGAGTGCTTTTGTGTAACTTACCGACAGTTGTCCGGAGGTGAACAGAGCACGCTGATGCACATCTCTGCTTTGCCATTCATGCAGGTGCACTAAGGGAAAAGGAGAAAAGAAAAAAATTAAAATCAGAATTGTGGGTAGTTGAAAAAATATTTCAGTTGCTAATTCACGCGTTCTTTTGTTAAGTTTAATTTGGTTTTGCTGTTTACAATGAATTTAAAAAAACAAATTTTTTTTGTATTGAAACAATTTTTGAAACAGTTTCTTGCTTTTTCTACTATTGATAAAAACTCCCTTTTTATAATCGTCAAAGTTTCAAAACGATTTTTTTTCTTTCATGCTACTCAACACACGTTAACATTTAATTTAGTACTCATAGTTTAAACAGTGTTGCCAAAAAAATGATTCCATTGCTAATTTTGAAGTTTATAATGTTGACTTAATAGAAAAGATGAGTAAGAAAAACCTTCAGTTTGAAAGCTTACATTGCTTTAATTTTTTCCGTTTGCTTAGAGTAAATATTTAAATTTTTAATGAACCACCAAACTCTACAGTAAAAGATATAAATTAGCACACAGTTAAAAAATTAATTTTTGTTGACAAAAAAATTTAAAAAACACAATTTAAAAAATGCAAAAAGTTCAGTTAGTTGTGTATTTCCCTTTTTAAAATTTTGCCCGAAACTCTCTTGTCTCATTCATCCGCTTTTGAAGGAGAGAGTGAGTAAATTATTATCGATTGGCTGCCAGTGTCGATCTGATCGATCAATTGGTAGTTTATTTATACACTTTGATTGAGAGAAAAAAAGCTCTAAATTGTGACGCAACAAAAGAGAAAAAGAAGACCAAAAAAAGCAAAAGATTTCCTAGTTCAATAATTCACTGTCATCAACTACTGTTAATTTGTTTGGCACAGCTTTTCTTTTTTTTAAAAACTTTTTCTGTGATCAAGCTCTCGAAAGACACAAAAAGCGTAGCTCCTAAGGTAAAAAACTTTCTGTAAAGACTTTGCAATCTTTAAAATTCAAATCTGTTTGCATGATAATCACAAGTCGCCTGAAAATCTCTTTAACTTACCTTTTTCCAATCACCTGTCTTTCTGTTTTGCTGATCTTTATGAGTGCCTTTTTTTCTCACCTTTGTCGATTGTTCATTTTTCCTCATTCATTCATTCTTTCTTTCTTTTTTGTTCATCTTTCATTCCTCCACCTTCACTGCCCTTCTAAATAGGTCCTGAAAATCAATACCATTGATCTTTTCCCCTGCCCCCTGCAGCCCACCACAGTTGAATCGATCTTCTAATGATCCTTATTTATAGCAGCAACAACATCAAGAACCAAGCGAACATCGGCCACACTTTGGGCGACTGCTGCTTTTGATTGTCGTCGGTAAATGTCAATCGTTATCGATCAATAGTTTTGCCTGCTAGTTTTTTTCTCCATTTCTCATCTTCAGTGCTCTTTAAAAGACAAAAGACCTCACAGTTCTTGGCGGATATGCAGGACAGGACGGCGGATATCTTTTTTTCTACTCCAAATTATGGTCAATTTTTTGGGCATTTTCTTTTAGACTTTCATCTTCCGCTTCTGATCTAATCTTTCATCTATTTGCTGACAGCAAGATAAAAAATTTTTTCCAACATCATCCAACACATGGCGACGACTACATTTAACCTGTCGGTGCAGGGCAGTTGACAGCAGAAAGTGCAAACTATTTTGGGGAATCAACAGAAAGTAGAAGAAAGCCAACGAAAGGGAAAAGGAGAGGAGGAGAGAGGAGAAGTTTTAGGCAAATGACTGGCAGTAATGAGTGGTAATTGACGGGCATACGACTGTCAGGCGACAGTCAAAAATAAGAAAGAAAGGAGCACACAAGCGCTGC